TTGAGAAAGGGGGACTTTTACTTGAGAGATATAGTGAGGTATTGTCGTGACAACTATAGTCAGCTGTTAGTTGCGTGGATCAGTTCTGACCAGGCACAGGTACCGCTGTTCAAGAAGACGGGCAACAATGGTAGTGAGTGAGGGTGTGTGCATGCATGGAAGAGCGCGTGGTGGAATCGCAGAAGGGACAAATTTTCGCTCCGTAGCAGAGATGACCATGAAGAAAACGTTCACCAAGATTTAGGCTTTTAAGAAGTTGGCGCACGCTAGGCACCACGACGGCTTTTCACACCGCTCTAAGATGGCTAAATAGCACTAATAATGTTCGCCATGGCGAGGCTGTTTTACAGTATTAACATATCAGTAGGATAAATTTTGCAGAAATGTAGTGACGAGGAAGGTAATACAGTTCGTGCTTTTTTAAACGTATTTCCATTGCAATGTGTAGACTTAACATGATCCGATTGGAGCTGAATGCCCATCACATAGTTACTCATTATTTCTAACTTATTCCTAGTTCAATCATCTTCAAACAACTCGATTCATTATTAAAATTCAGGTGCGAAATGTTCTCCGCTCTTGCAAAACCGCCTCGTCAAGGGAGAGCTGTCTCGTATTCCCAATGCAACTCCACCAAACGAATTCCATCATTTACATAACATAAAAGAACTGGTTCATTGTCAGGCTTTTACACGCACCTAAGTTATTTTTTAAAGACAAATGAAAACAAACCTAGAAGTCATTGAAAGGTGGTGAACAATAAATAGAATTTGGCTACAGTGCCTCTTTGACGAAGCAGTCATGCAATTTTGACAAGTCAACTGGCAGTCAAAGACTCCAAATGCTCAAAATAATGAATCAAAAAGACATCGAAAACTTTCTTGTTGCCAAAGCGAAACGAAATCAGCGAATCAATTACCACTCACAATATGCAGCTAAATTCTTACAAATATCGAAATGAGAACATAAAGTAATTGAGATAGAGAAGTTCGTTTCCATCCAATAACTCTATGCTTGTGAATGGTAGCCGATTATCTAAGAAGTGTTGGTCAACAGATGGAGGAGAGTTTAAGACCCATTGGACACTTCTCTATCAGCAAACAGGCCAATTAAAACAGCAAAAAAGTGTGTGGAATAAGATCCGACGGAAATTCAAAGCTTTATTGGTGATTGCGAAGGCCGAGAATAGGCACATACCTCGCGAAATTGCAAAATATTTAGCACTGAGCATCACAGATGCCAAAACGTGCCAACTTTATCAGCAGTTTACATCTATTCAATGCAAAAATCACTATCACTCTAGCGCGTGAACCAAAAATCAGCTTTAAATCATGCGGTATAACCAAAAAATCACTAATTTGAACATTAATTTTCATTATTTCCCAAGCGATTCGAAAGACTGTTAGCTTAGTGACAGTGACTTACATTTTGGTTTTATCTCAAGCTGAGCAACTTATTACACATAAGTAGTGAATAGTACACCCACTCCCAAGACTAAAAGCTTGACGAGGTATCAAAGTTTGAAAGAGGAGTGTTCTTATGTCAGAAAAAGTGTTAGTCCCACTTACGTGTCAAAGAACGCGACCATGGTAAGGAATGTGACGTCACCCAGACCGCAGGAGAGACTCGCACATACGACGCCTGCGATGGGAGAAACAATTTTGTTAAAAATTAGGTGCAGAAAGTTAAAAATTTTCATATGCCTACATTTTAAATCAAAAACGCCCATGAGAACCCCCTAACATTCTTACCGAAAAGGCTAAGTTCGGTCGAGTTGGAAAAGGAAACGATGAGAAACGCAGAAAGCGCGAAGAAAACGGAGAGGCGAACCTTAAAACTGTGGTAAAAAAACTTCACCTGGCTACCAACTTAATGACTAAGCAGGAAAATAGGAAAATAAGAAGCGTACTGAAAGTGCAATCTTTGGATAAAAACGGGAGCTAAAAGTTTGAGCAAAAGACTGGGTCCGATATCGGCCAAGAGAACAGCCTAAATGAGAAGAAATAAGTGTTAAACGGTGTGAAAAATAGTACTTACCCCGGTCCCCACTACGGTACAATTTACTCGACCATGCCAGTCAGTATCGTAAACAGACTTCTAAAACGGGCAGCAAATGCTTACTTAAAAAAGAATAAATGTTTCAAAAAAAGGCACACAAACCAACGGTATCAAAGCGGAGACTAAGCAGATGTAGGAAGGCGAATACTTGGCTTGCAATAGCAGAATGATCGAACGTAGCATACATGTTTTAAGTTTTAGTAATAAAAAGTAAGTAACGCAACTATTCGGGCAACCATTAGTTGAAGTATAGATCCACCCAAAAAAAAATAACTGCTTACTAATCAAGCCACTTTGCTTCTGTTAATCGATGAAAAAAAACGTGATTTGAAACTGACTACGCACCTTAGAGGTGCCACTTTCCAGAATATCGACAGCCGCGCTCAACATAACGACATAAATAAAGTTGTTGAATAGTCCAAAACACCAAAATGCAATATAATTGCGCCAAATTTGCCAAAACTCCCGGACACGCGCTAGGCCCATATCGGAACCTTCGAATACATCAAAAGTGGCATTTGGTTAACTGGTGCGCAAGGTCAGTAAGTAGTTGAAACAAAATTTTGAGGGCACGACTCAGTAATATAAATATGTTTTTCGTTGTGCAACTTGAAACGTTATTATGCAACAAGCAAGTATAAAAAATATCGCGAAAGTTGCCAAAATTTGCAAGTCCTGCATAAAATAACTATAGTATGAAAACAGCCAAAGCCTAGATAATCATTATTAATTAAGAACAGCAGATGTAGAAGGCCATACATTGCTAACCAACAGGAGTGTTGGTAGGCTGTCGGTACGAGGATTGCATTGTCTGTGTAGTTCATCATACAAGTGAATAAAGTGCAATGTATTATGGTCAGCTACCGATCAGTATGCTGCTGCATTGCAGGATGTCAAAGCGTCTGTTGACTTGGGTCTTTCGTCGCGCCAAAACAAGCAGTTTGATACGTTATGATTAAAGCTGCAAATAAGATGGCTTTAAGTTTGCTGTTGACAAAAATAAAATGCTAAGATCGCTTTGTGTTCCAGTTGAGGCTATTTTACCTAATCAGTGGAAAGGAAAGAGAGGACAAACTGCTGATGACAGTGCACAAGAGGACCCGGTTTTGATGATATGCTCTCAGCAAAGTGTGGCAGAAGGAATTGCCGGAAGCTGGATGCCAAAGCAAATATCTACTAACATCAGATTTCTGCATTCGAGTGCTGTTTCAGAAATTTGTCTTCGAAGAAAATCCAGTTTTTCATCAAATGCGCCTTAAAATCAAGCATCTTTTTTTTTATTTCAGCAGAATATTGTTTTGCAACTTTGGACTGGGTGGACCGGCTGGATGAGGACACCACTCTTTGGTTGCATGGGTTGGAATTTTGGTTAGTCCCAAGGGGCCGATTGCTTCCACTAAGTCATGAGGTTCTTGCATACTTACCGCTTCTCGCCTTTAAGGTACATTAAAACAAGTGGATAATATACGTTAACTATAAGTTACCTGTTTAAAATCATGTGCATGACTGCATGTGAATGACCTCTGCTAGGCCTATTGGTCAAGAAACATTTTGAAGAAAATCCTAAGATTCGTGGAAAAAATCTAGCCAGCTGCTCGGTTATATTAACCAAAATCTTGTTTTATGTAGTGAACTCGGGTTAGTAGTCCCGGCTTACCGTTTACGGCCCTATTTTGCCTAAAGAATGCTGGAATGTAACAAAGATGGCGACCTTCCCTTTTCCATTAGGATAAATTACCCTTCATATACCGCCATCTTTAGACCAAAGTTTCAAATAAATTGTTTCAGCATCGTCTATGTGTTTGGCAATGTATGACTTCACAAGGTCGTAATGTACTTGTTCAGTTGTAGGTAGTCTGCTTTCACCTGCAACAACAACCTATTCACCTCACATACAATTAATCACTCAACACTTTCATGAATATTGTGCGTGGCTACGCGCTATTAATTTTTTATACTTTAGCGCCACACTCTTCTTTCCTTAAGACCATTATTACGTGTGAGTGTGAATCATCGGAGAAATAACTGTTCTCCTGGAACCTTCAAACTTCCACAAGCCAAAAATATGAAATTTAGAACTATCTATTCAAGTTATTAAAATCGAGATATTAGCTGAACCAACCTATTGGGGAAATATCAAAGCCACCGATGACTTAGAAAATCACTGTAGACCAGGTTTCATGAATAAAATGAATAACACAGATCAACAAACGATATTATTCACACGCGATTTTACAAGGTAGGAAGGTAGGAAACCACTTCCTGATGCAAGAGCGTTAAAAATCTACTCTGACTTAAAAATGCCCAAAAGGTTGGAACAGTAGGGACAAAAGTGATTCACCTCCTGATATCCGGAAGAAACGAAGGGTATGAGGAATAAAAACAGGGGAGCGCTAAAAACGAAAACAAATGGAAGAGGTTAGTAGAAATACGTTTGCGTGTTATGCGGTAAATTAAAATATCTACCTTATGAAGCAAGTCACTAAACGAAATCATATGTTAGTCTATGGGAATAGCAGGCACTGTACTAAACTTGACGATTAAAAAAGAAGGGCGCCAGAAAGGCGGTAGGTGCTCCACAGGCTGATAATATGAAGCCACCCACGCTGCTACTTCTTAAACAGCTGTACAAAAGAAAGATTTCTCCAGCCCACGCGGCGTCTCAAGTCTCCACCGTTAATGTAGGAACTGCACACTTTCAGAGCTAGGTGGTAATTTAGTTCATCTAATTGTCACTAAAGTTCTCAATGCTAAATTACGAAAGCTGAGCAGTTAGTGTCTACGGAAGTCTAGCATCGCCAAGGGTGGTTAATGTCCCATCGTCACAAAAAGATACATTACTGGGGCATACGTGATGAGGCAGAGGACAAACAGACAGAGAAACTTGGCAGTGCTGATTTGATTGTCGACAATGGTGTTGACTTTCAAGCGACAAGTGGGACAATATGCGACTCGAGAATCTACGCCAAAAGTCTGAGTACGAGAAGGCTGTGTTTCCCCTTGTTTGGACGCCTCTAAGACCAAAAGATTATGGATATTATTCCAGTTGTTTAATCACAAATAATAATTTGTCCGTCTAGTGAATTACAGGTAAAACAGCTCAACAAATGAGTTCCAAGAAAAATAAAACATAAAGTAGTGCTGTGTGGTCATTGATTAGTTCAGCTCAAACCAAATTAAAACAAGAGACAGACTGAAGCTAAAGTGTTTCGCTGCATGCGTTCAATCGCATTATGGAATGATTTTTACTTAGTAGAGCAAATTCCATGGAACAGACCAGAGATCGGTAGAGCCGTATGGGGAGGAGGGGGTTGCTCCATCGTTGAATGAGTTTTTCCGGGTGATAAAGCCAAGTATAAAATAAAAACGCAGCAAATTAGAATAACTTTTTTGATGCTTTAAAGATGAATAGCCTGTCAGCATCTTGCAGACACGCCAAATATGGGCATCAGTTTTCATGATTTTATTACGCATCAAAACTAACTGCTAGGAAGGTGAAAAAAGTTCGGTAAATTTGATATGCTAGCTAAAAAAGAATGCATAGAGTACATACTTAAATGCTATTATCAAGATCATCGGACTCTAATCTGTGGTTATTAATGACAATGACTAGACAGGTAATATCAAATACAAGTCTCTTAACCACAATTAAAATATTTGTTTGCCTAGTAAGTAGCAGGTGAAGTAACTTAACAAATGCGTTGCAATTATTGTGGCAACGATAAAGTGCTACTGTGTAGGCATTGATTTACTACGCTCAAGCGCAGCTTGAATGCTAACAATAATAGAAACAAGGATGTCTGCCTCAAGTTTAACAGTTTTCAAACAGGAGCTGCAGATGCCTAGCAAATGTTTCAATGCATAAAATGTCTGAGTTATTGAATGAAACACAGTCAGCAGAGTGCAGCAAATTTAAATATTGAAAAGATTGCTTTTACATGGTGAATATGTGTGAAATAGGCTGGAACAAAACAACGACATACTCCCAAGAATGCCATTAAAAGCAAATTAGTTAACTGCTTAAAGGTGTTTAAAAACGAGAAGTCTAGCACTTTGCTAGTAATTTTGCCTATACCTTGATCCATGCGAAGTGAATTTCAAAATTGATACCATTTGACTACCAACGCCGTAATATACCAGTCACATGGTCTAAACAATTTCAAGTCCATTTAATATTTTATTTAATAGCGCATTTTATTTACAAACAAGCATCGTAAGTTGGCAAAAATAATTGCATCTGAGGGAAGGAATAGCTGTCAATAGTGACTTTGGCGGTAAATATGTGTAATACCTATTTATCTATAAAATCTCTGATGACTGTAATGCTATTCTAGCAGTTTAGTGATGGTAAGTTGATAAGCTTTCATAGCATTATATTTAACTTGCGCAGCATAATTGGCCCTGTCTTAATTTATGTTCAAGCCTTTGGTTGTAAAACTCTCGGTTTTGTCTGCGGTTTCATCTTAGGTCCTCCGCTATCGTATCTTCGTTGGTTGGACTGGTCTCCAGGCTATGCCAGTAATCCAATGAAGTACATCTTTGATCGCGTTCAGGGAAGTCTTGAAAATGCTGCAATGGTGACAGCGGTAGGTAGCGAACCCGACCTTAAAGAACAATCATCCTGATTTCTAACGCCGGATGATAAACCTTAACGCAACAGAAGAAGTGCATGTGCTGCAGTTGAAAGAATCTGTGACAACTTATGGCGGGAGAGCTGAAATTAACGCCAACCATCGGAGGCTACCCCAGTACCTTGGTCAGCAGGAAAGCTGTTAGCAACTGAAGCGGCACTCGCTCCGAACCATCTCAAAAATATTTGTTACGGAGCTGTCTGCCGAAACTGTGTGAAGATGTAAGTATCATGAACGTGCGATACCTCCTCCACTTCTCCAACAGCTGGATTGAACTCGAATGGATATGGTCGGGTAGATCTGAAGTAGGAGTAGCGTGACCAGTGTTCCTATGACTAACTATGGACACGCGTGTTGGCTGGTATATTTTCTCGTCTTAGATCCAGTGGTATTTTTAAAAGGGATCGACGATGCTGCAGTCAGGCTTCTCCTCGGTTACACGGAAATTCGATGACTGGCACGGATGGCTAGTAAGTGTTTTCCTAAAGCACAGCCTTTAGTATTATGACTAAAGCTGGAGTTTAACTAAGGCAATTGCTGAGAGAGTTGCTTAAATGAAGAGATGAATTATGCGATACGTTGATTTTCTAACTCTCAGCTTCAGGAAAAAGCTCACTTTGGATCTCCGCCATTGTACTTTCGCTGGGGTGGATGGTCTTCGGGCCATACCAATAGCACCACTCCCTTCTGTATGTCAAATGTATATATTGTGCACAAGTATTATATCTCCTTTCGTCTTCCGAGATGTCTAGGGGGGCCAAATAAGAAGTGATAGCAACATAACAGAAAGTGTATTACTGACAGAGAGAAGAGCTGAGGTCACCGACATGGCCCTGGGGAATGCTCTTAGGCCGAGGTACAATCTGGGGAGACCGAAGTGCCCGTGTAATTAAAGGCAGAGCTAAACAACTAATCAAAGATTCGCAATATAACGCATCATTTGTTATATGTCATAATAACATAATTCCATATCAACTAATCCAATGTGTAACAGGTTTACGGTGTAGAAGTTCATATTTTTCCTTATGTTATCAGTTGTCGAATATTATTTTATTATTTTTATTACTATATTAGCCCCTTGAGTCGCAGGCAAACTGCTTCCTAATCAGATGTTTGCATTTGCTAAATTAAACCAAGGATTCATTTTATTAAATACCTAGTTTCTAAAGAGCTACTCAAATGATTCTGTCAAGTGACACTCTGTTAGGGTTATATTTTGCCTTGTTCGTTGGTTTAGTAACATCTACAAAGGCAACTTCTTGGTGCTTTTGAAGTTAAAATTTCATTTTAATCGAATAAGGGATGCAGACGTTAGTAGTAGCAAAGCCACTAATTCCCAATTTTCCATTATTTTTGTAGCTTAAATTCTTTCATGATCCATGTATTTCTCCCTATAATGAAAACCTACCTCCTTTAGTGCCATATTACCAATTATTTTTTTAAGATTAAACTTAAGTCTTTTGCTGACAACCAACTGCAGTAAATTAATAAATTCTTCAACTGTTTTGAGCTGCTTGATCCCGCTTTCTGCTGTTTTCTGGGGCACAAAATACGGATTTGATGCCATCCTCTATATGCAAGACATCTGAAGCCCGACAAACCTGCCATTTGCAATAAATGGAATAGCGTCGCCTCATTTTCTCTGCGTGGATATAGCTGACACTGTACCCATATTTGTGCTCACAGACTCCACCGGATCCGTGATCTAAATGCTGTGTCACCAAGTGGCACGACCTACTCCGACACTGTTGTCGTAGAATAGCCACTGTCGGTTTTGGCGCTGATTGGCTAGGTGGACGGTTTGTAGATTAATTGCACCACTAATTGTCTGTCTCTGGCTGCTTCTCAATCAGTAGATTGGTCTCAGCTATAATCACTTGCTCTTTCGCGTCCGCATTGAGCCACAAGCAAGGACGCACAAATCACCTAGAAAATTTTGTGGATTGGATGTTTAATGCAGGATGTCTCCTCGAGTGCCTTGACAAAACAGACGATCTATAGCTGCCTACACATTTTAGGTAATTTGTTCCGTCACCACCTCTTCGCTATGTGCCATAAAACAGTGATGTGACAAATGGATACTTTCTTCCTGCCTACGAATCCATACTGTAGTCGCTTTCCCTGTCCAGCCAATGAATGCCGTCCAAACTTGGGAGCTGACAAAGTTTACGCCAACTGAGACGTTTGTTTATCAACTCTGTGGATAATAAATGTTTAGACATCTGTGCTGCATTGGTAGAAACACAAAACGCGGCCAGAAAGAAACTTTCGTGGTCACATATCACTATGTAAGTAAATTGGGGAAAGTCTAGTGTCACAAGACGTGAGTAGAGAAAGAGGGTGGGGGGTAAGAAGGCGCAACAGAAGTGTAGCCAGCTAAATCGTTTAAATTGTAGCAAGGAAGAAAGGTACGATTCCCTCCAAGTTGGTGTTTATTTCCTTCGAGAGAGTGATTTTCAAACTCTGTCATGTTAGCATTCACCACGCGTGTGGATGTTTAGGCACGTTTGTGAAACAATTTGGATGATACCGACCACAAGGAATCACACTTATCTGTAGCCGAAGCCATTGTCCTTAAGATCTTCCTATTCCACCTTTCGAGCAGTCAATTCATTGCAAGAGCGATTCCCACTTACAAGATAAAGTAGCGCAAGTTGGTGAAGAGGATAATAAAGTGAGAGATAGAATCGGAGGTAGTTGTGTCGATGCTTGTTGACTTGTCGTCAGAGGAAAGACCTCCCATGATTGTGTACATCAGAACTGTTTTGTGTCTCGTCGTAAATGGTACACACTGATGTATTTCTGCATTGCCTTAGTTAGCCGAAAGGGTTAGAATGGATGCATCGTCATCCCATCAGGAGGTTACAGCGTGTAGATTTGACAAGACCTGGACTAACACATAGCTAACTTGTCACCACCAGCTCCAAATCCCTTCTTGAAATATATATTACTCTACCATACAACGAAGACTGGAGGATTTATTTTGTCCTGCCCAGATTTTAAACGACTACTAGTCTCCCCCCGTTTATCCTTTACTTGCAATATTAACTCTCCCTTAAACAAGGCCCCAGGTGTGGCCTTATACATTCTTAAACTGAGCCTAACATTAGCCCACCCAAATTCCTCATATCCATCCGTGCCACTCCACATCAAGTTGGTATCTGCACAACTGCAAAGTAAAGCACTTTCCAGTGTTCCAGAGGCCATTTGTTTATGGACAGGGAGACGAAGAAAGAGGGGAGAAGAGAGGCTGACAAGCGTTAATGCAATCACGAATGCGAGTGTGGAGGAAGAGGACAGCAAAGTAGTTAGTACTCATCATGGAATGGATATTCCGGATGCTGTGCAAATCTAAAAGAGACAGAGAGAGTTGGTATTTACCCAAATCATGGTTGCACACTTTGGCACTGTTTTGACAAACAAAAAAGCCCACTTCATGTCGTGCTAAACAATAAGTACAAAACTTACGCTGGAAGTGAGAAAATACGCTTGTTTGAATCGGTTCTGTTAAGTTTCTCCATTTCCACATCGGTCAGCTCGAAGTCAAACACCTGGAAAGCACAAAGAGGTGTCATGAGGATTTGGCGGTCAAAAGGTTTGACAAGACACTCTTTGCTTAGGACTTACATCAAAATTCGACTTGATGCGCTCAGGAGTGACACTTTTGACGATAACAACGATACCTCTTTGAATACCATGACGCAGTAGCACCTGAGCAGGTGTCCTCTTGTGTTTATGCGCAATTTCGACAACCTTCTCATCATTTAGAAGCGACTTTACCTCGCCCCTACCAGAAGTGTCCAAATTTGGTCGGTTAAAATTCTCCGGCTTACTTTAGGAAACCAGGACAGCCGAGGGGTGCGTAGCCCTCCACCTGAATGTTCTTGGAGTGACAAAACTCAATCAGCTTCGTGTTGGGACAGTGGATATTGACTTCGACCTGATTCACTGCTGGTGGAATTGTACACGATGCCAAAATACGCTCCAGTTGTCGTTTGTTGAAGTTAGACACTCCAATCGACTTGACAAGCCTAGCGGATACTAATTCTTCCATAGCCTAAATAGAGGCTTTTACATCCATTTCACGGCTCTACCCTCCACGTATCCTCAATTTTATGATGCTCATATACTATTCGGCTTGGATCATTGACATCAAATTCACCATCATCCTTCTGTTGGAAGGAAACAGGCCAGTGGATCAAGTACAGATCCAAATACTCGACGCCGAGATCTTTAATTGACATTTCGCAAGTTGGGCGGACATCTTCGGGTGCGTGTTTGTCACACCAAAGCTACATTTAGAATAGCCAATTTTAAGAACTTGAAGAGCTACCTTTGAAGTAAGGAAGAAGTCTTCGCGTTGAAGATTGTACTTCCTCATGGATGATGCTATCGCGGCACCGATTTCCGGCTCAGTGCCATAAAGCATGGCGCCGTCGATATGGCGAAACCCCGTGCTAATAGCCACTTCAACGGCTTGTTCCATTCTTTCTTTGGAACCCTATGATTATCATGTAGCAGACGGAATTAAATCTTACAGCGGTTCCAAAAGCAAGTTGCGGAATCTTATGACCACTACTGAGATCAAGAGTCGGTGTAGGAGCCATCGGTTGCACAGGAGCAACGCGCTGCACGATGCGAGACCCTCCTATCAACTTCGGCGTTTGTGCTGTTGTTTAAGTACCCCTTGTTAATGTAAACATACTTGGTTTATTCTTCTATTCATGTGCGAAAAACAAATGCCTCAGATTGAATCATCAATACAAGTGTCACTAACCACCAAAAGCCGAGTGAGCTGACAACCCAATCGCAATATCGTTGTGAGACACAGAGGGTGGAACTGACTCCTCTTATTCTACACAGTTTGCTTTTAGTGATAGTAGGCAATTCAATTCTTTGTTGATTTCAGTACCCAATGAGTTAATCCACATTTACTTTGATGGTCGGCTAGTAGCGCCCGCCTCAACCTCAACACTTTCCAGACAATGGACCATCCCACCATCACGTGTGTAAGAAAAAGCAGGCAAATTGCGGTGGGAATGTGACAAAGGAAATAGAGAGAGGTTCTTAGCTCTCGCAGACGTGAGATTTGCGATTTGGTGTCGCGTAGAGAAAGGACTGCCGATTTTAGTGGAGCACTGCATCAACGCTCTGTTTGGCTGCCACACCTCACCCGCTTTGCTTCTAATGCATCCCTCTTACAGACCTCGCATCGTGTGGCATCCCGAATGCCCACAGATGGACGTTAATGCAGTACAGGCGATACAAGTAAGCTGGCGATTTCTAAACCATGGAGCACAGGTTCCACCATCATTTCCTAATGCGTTTCTATCCCCTATCAAATACTGACATTCGATTGGCTGATTAGGCGATTGGTTGATGGAAGTTATTTCTGTTGGTACCAAAATTGCCAAAACTAATGTTGTGTACGTCTACGAAGAGTAGGAAGTAGTCTACTGAAATGAATTAAAGTAGCAAGAACTGGCGAACAGAGTGAAGAATACGGGTGATTTGGCACCGTATTGAAAGCGATGGATAGTCTATTTCATATCACCTAATGAGTAAAGTGTCAGGCCTTGAAATCTATAAAAAAGAATCCGCACTAAAGAGAGTCGGACATAAGTGTAAAATGTACACGAAAGAAGGGCGATCACTGTCATTTTATCATAATGTCAAGAAGTCAAGTGTGGGATCATTTTGCCACAACGCTTGTATTCCAACTCTCCATTTCCACGCATTCCTTAGAGCGTCTTCTTGGTTATTCTGCCTCCACTGTGCCTATGGCCATCACCGTCTAAAGGCAATTTCTACAATGACTGTTCTAATTAGCTCCAACAGACTAGCTTCTTGGTTACTGTACATTGTGTGAAAGTAATTTTGCAATTCGGTCATTATAATAGGTCTAGTGAGGAAGGGAAGTATAAAAAAGTGTACCATTATGAGTGTGGAGGGTGTTTAGAGGGCTGCAGACCAGAGGTGTTGACAGGACGTCATTTCACACAAACGCTTTTCTCAGCAGCGACTACGAGCGCCAATTGGCACACCACCAAGCCCCTTAAGATGTCACAAGTATACGAGCATAGGCGTGCCCCGCGTCTTCTGCAGTTAGTCAACATTCACTTGCGCCGCACCCAGTGGCACCAGCTTGCTCATACTGGTGGGCGAATAAAGTACCCCTGATTAACATCATAGTCTCTACGGGGTGCGCTGATTGAGGTAATCTGTGCAACGAGATATTCGTGGAGGTACTTATTTGTCCTCAAGACCCTTCTTTCCTCACCGCATGTCAGACATCGTAACTAGCAGTGTCTGGGATGCACTTATCCACGTCAACTCCCTAGAACAGGCTCACACACGGTTACTCGTGTACAAATATACCTGTAAATTTGGCATCTTTGAAGTACTTGTAGTTCAATCTATCCTAGGCGACACCACTCAAAATGACTACTTCTTTCCTTTGTTAAAGCGCGCTAGAGGCTATCTCTTCATCACTGTGGTAGTGAAGTTTACACAGCGAGTATCCACTTCCGCATGATGACGGTTAAATTACTTGCTCATGTCCCTATTGTCAAGATAGGCTATACTGCGTTCGTTATTTATATCGGAGAACATCACAAAAATTATCGCATTGCAAGTAAACTAAGTTACCATATTGATCAATGCAACTACATTCCACCAAAACCATCATTAGTGCTACATGTTTGGGAAGGAGGTCAATTGGTGACGGGGATTCAGCGCTATTTGCGATGTCAAACATGCATGCACTTACGCATTTGGAGTGGTTATTATCCTTCCTGGCACCAAGCTCACCCGAGGTGCAGCCACCCTCATGCCTGCATAAACTGTTGCGTACTTATGGCCTGAGAGTGGATGCTGCATTTGCATAACTCCCACCGGCCTTCAGTAAATGCGCAACACCTAATGCATTCTACTAAAAATAGATCCACCTGTTTATGAGTGAATGAAAATGGTAACCTTTTAAAGGATAGAGTGCGCTTGAGTTTGCTCATACGAATAGTGAGATAAATATCGTACAAGAGCAAATATTTGAATGGGAGATAGGCAATAGAGAGAATAGTAAAAATAAACTGACGGAGCAATTTTGGACACTGTCTAGAGTAAAAGAACTGAGCTGCGCGTCTTCGTGGCAGCGATAGTGTAATACGATAGTGGTTTATCCCTCGTTGTTGGTGAGGCGCCACTTTTGTACTTCGAATTAGCCCCATTGTACCTCGCTGGGTGGGCTGGCCTTTTGGGCCATGCCAATAGCCTAGACACCTTCTTTGTGCTGAATATATATATTCTGCCCGAGTATTGTGTCTTCTTTCGTCTTCAGGGAGTCCCGGGACGCTACAATAGTAAGGGGTATCGAGTACGAAGGCAGGCAGATAAGGAATTACCAGTATTCCAGATAACTAATAGATGCAGTATGCGGCACAAATTTTACGGTTAAGCAGTTAAGCCCTAGTACGTTTTGCGCAAGGGCGCGATGAGTCTGGCCACACAAAATTAGCAGTTAAATAAAGATAGTTGAAGCTTCTCGAAACAAGTGCATGTGCATGTAATTGCTAATAAGCAGAAACGAGAACAGAGGAATTTGTTTGCCTTAAAGCTTAGAGGGCTGTTTATATTTGGTGCAACTTTGTAAATAAAAATTGCATTTGAAATGAACTGTAATGCCCTGAGGAGGGCTTTTTACCGCATATTTTTAAGAAACGCATCGAAGTGTTCTGTGCTAGAAATAGGCGTACATAATTTATTAGCCGTAGTGCAAAGGCAAAAAGATAAGCAAATTTTGTTTATATGAATAAATTGCATATGCTCATTGACCTAATTTATTGCGTTCAGGCGTGCATAGGCGATTTGACGATCATTTTACCTCTAGGGGAATGAGCCAGAATCAAAGTATGCTTCTCAACAGCGGTCATAGGATTCCACAACTTGGCTTCGGGACCTTCTACGTAAAAAGATCTGGTTTTGCTCACTGTATGTCAATTATAGGCTCCTAAAGAAGTCGTGACTGAAGCGGTGGAAGTGGCTATTAGCACTGGGTATCGCCACATTGACTGTGCTATGATCTATGGGAACGAAAAGGAAGTCGGTGCTGCAATTGCAACATCCATGAAGAAGTACAATCTTAGGCGTGAAGATATCTTCGTTACCTCGAAGGTACTCCTGCTGATACATGAGGTTTGATAATGTGAATGTAGCTGTGGTGCGACAAACACGCACCCGAAGATGTCCGCGCGGCGTGCGAACTCTCAGTTAAAAATTTTGGCCTGCAGTACTTGGATTTATACTTGATGCACTTTCCTGCGTCCCTCAAATACAAGGAGGGTGTGGATTTCAATATCCGTGATCCAAACTCGTTCAGTTTTGAGTATCATAAAATTGAGGACACATGGAAGGTAGGTTTGTGAAGGCATAATACCACAACTTTCTAGGCCATGGAGGAATTGGTGTCTGATGGACTCGTGAAATCGATTGGCGTGTCCAACTTTAACAAAAGACAAATTGAACGCATTTTGTCATCATGCACAATTCCTCCAGCAGTGAATCAGGTTGAAGTCAATATTCACTGTCTCAACACGAAGCTGATTGAGTTTTGTCACTCAAAGAACATCATGATCGAGGGCTATTCGCCCCTTGGCTCTCCCGGTTTTGTTGGGTTTGTTCGCGCATTTCGCCGCCGTCAAATTTTTTGTCAGCTGGAATTTCAACTAAGCCGTCTTTCTGGCTCATTTTAGAGACCAAGTAAAGCCAGTATTGGAGGAGGAGAACGTTGTCGAGATTGCTCACAAGCACAAGAAAACACCTGCTCAGGTGCTTCTGCGTCATGGTCTCCAAAGAGGCATCGTTGTTCTCGTCAAAAGTGTCACTCCTGAGCGCATTAGGTCAAATTTTGATGTAAGTCCTAAGCAAAGAATGTCCTATCAAACCATTTGATTGTTAAATCCACATAAAACCTCTTTGTGCTTTCGAGTTGTTTGATTTCGAGCTGACCGATGCGGAAATGGAGAAACTCAACATGACTGGTGAAGTCGGCCGTGTTATTTGGTGGCCTGGGTAAGTTGTGTCCATCGTGCTTTATATAACACAATTGTGCTTCCTGCTTACCAAAACACTAGTGTAGAAAGTGCTCAATTGAATTCCTGAAAGCTCAATATCATTACGACATGTGGGTTGTCCCACGACGCCTCAAGTATATGCATTCTTTTCTCTTATCTATTTCTATCTTCTTAAGCTTTTCAAAGCACCCGGAATATCCGTTCCACGATGAGTACTAACTAGTCCGTTGGCATCGTCTTCCATACTAACGTTCGTAATTGCGTCAATCCTCGCCGATTCCTCTTCATATCGCCCTTCTTTGCCTTGTTGACCATCGACAAATGGCTAATATAATGTTGGAACGTGTTTTACTTTGTGTTTTTGTGAATGTCAGTGTGATATGAAGACATTCGGTTGGATTTGAGGCTGTGGGATGGAGGGATGTTAGAGCTAGTTGATGGATTGTGCGTAGACTGTGCGTGAGGCCTTGTTGTAGGCGAAGCGTAGATTGGACACGAAGGCGAACCGACAGGCGTGCCTTGTCATTGTTTTGTCTGGGTGTAGCCGAACAATCCGCCAGGTCTTCGTCAGTTACAAGTTAGCACATGCATTGGCCAATGCATAGGATGCATTCTTCTAGTAAAACGGTTTCTATTCACACACAAGCGGGTCAAGGTGGGACAGCCTATCTTTCTCCCTCTTGACTCACCAGTCGCGCTTGGAACGCTCTTGTGTTGATTATTTCCCAGAAGTAACCACAAATACTGGTGGGATGGACACTCTTACACTTGACGCTGTACACGTCTCCTTCAACAGGTAGGCTTTCCCACAGTACTTCCTCCATAAGTCCTCATGGCCACGTAAATCCAAACCCTTTATGCCCAAATACACCATTCATTGGCATTGATGTGAAGGATTGAAAGCCATCTATCTTATTGGTCCAGACAAATATTTTGTCCTGAGGAGTGTTGGGGGCACCTGCGCCAATCATATACACCTATCTCTGTTTCGGAATAGAAATGGCACCTGGGCAATGTTTCATGCTGAAGAGTGGTTAAGGGGTCCGAGAGAACTAGCTGCCAGCGCCAGTTGTGCTTTTGATGGAATCCTAGCTGGACGATGGTAATTTAGCTGGGTTGAGAAGGTGGAGAGGCTTAGCTTGCAATTATAGTACAAATTCGATGTGTATTGTTTCGAGTCATTCGATTGTAGTGAGGAGGCTCCCAGACGTCGGGAGATGTCGCCAACGAATATATCACTGATTATTCGTTACGCCACGCTTTAAGAGGTGGCTGCTACCAACCACTTCAACCTCATACACCTTCACTTTTGTGTGTGTACGTGTGTGATGCAGTCGAGAATCAGCTTCGGGCTAGGAGTTGTTCACTTTCAGTAATTGCTGAGATCCATTAATTCCATCATTCAGCTAATCAAGGGAAAGAGAGCTCTTTACTCACAAGATGGAGTAAAGTAAGGGAGGACCTTGTGTCTCATCGACGGCAGTGAGCTAAGCGACTGGACAGAAAAGAGGGGATGGGAAAGAAGGACCTATATGCAAGGGTAAACCGGGTCGTGTCAAGTGTCAACATGTGTTCATCCTACTGGAATTCGTGGTGGCTCACGCTCACCGACCACCATGCCAACTGTTCGCATATGACTGACAGGATGGTTTGGGCGTGGATGGCGGTCAACCCAGTTCGGAGTTGCATTGCATGCAGTAGCTAAGGTGGGGTCCGTGTTTATCAAGTCCATCCTCTAAATGCCTCATTACATTCTGAAGTAAAAGCTAGTCAATTTGACATCCTTCTTCTTCTTCTTCTTCTTCAAAAGTGGACTCACATAGTTTTATTAAAGTGCGTGGTGTGTGGGTCAGTCGGAATCCGAATTGGTGAGTGAATAGACAACGTAGACAAAGGGGGAGATCCGGAGGTTGTGCAACCTTCAACCTGGTAAATTACGACAAGTGGAAGAATACCCTCCTTAAACTGTTGAGAAGTTGATTCTGCACTGCTTCATTACTTGGCTTTGCGGAGAAGGTGAGGTGCCACTGCCTCAGTGCCAAACGTTGTGGTTGTTGTAGTCAGACCTACTTGCCTGTCCGATGGGTACCTTGTGTGCTGGCATAACACAGGGCCGGACTAGTCTCCATACCACTGGTCACAAATGCAATGCTACCCCCATGTTCTTTCCAGTTTGTAGGTGTACACACCTGAGGAGACGAAAACAAAGAGTACAGGCCTTAGTAAGCGCCTGGAAGTGAGTCCTTCATGCAAATTTCACATCTCAACTTTGAAAATACCTCCGTTATCCTATATTCCCATGCCTAAAGGAGTGTTCAGTTGGGTGTCGCATTAGGAGAAGCCCAACGATTGAATTGTATCCTACCTGTAAAGGTGTGCTTTTGGAGGTCAAAGGACCTGACATGATCTTGTTAACTCGTGCGATGCTGGATGCATCGGTGGTGCCCTGACACGATTCACAATCACATCCGAGGTTGAAGATCAACCACCACCTTGCAGGAGTGAACAACTCACCCACGTTTTTTACTATCTAGTAGACCTAAAAACTTCTGATGCCCCATCCTACTCACTTCTCTCTCTCTCTTGCTCCCTCTCCCTCCACCTCATTCTGGTGATGCCTACAGGCTGTCATTCCATGAGACCTTCTCCAATTCACTTCTACAGTGAAATGCAACCACTGAGATGGCATATGGGAGCACGCTTCCGCAATCCATCTCTCTTTCCC